ACGAATCTGAGAGTGGCCACCCCACTCAGCCAATAACTCCAGAGCAGAGCACCACAGACGGCTGATTCTGCAACGTGTGGCCCTTGTAGTTTGGGGATGCCATGCTCAGCTGAGGCCTCAGAGAATGAATGACTTTTAACTTCCAAGTTTAACAAGCCCATAAACTTTAAAAGTACTTTAAAGTGTTGAGTGTTGGGTTTCTCACCGCATTTCCCGCGCAAGCTAAGGCCTGCTTGCAGGATGCGTGGCTTTGCCGCCACCGGGTGGTTTTGAAAGTTTGCACCGGTCTTTCTCATTGATGTATGGATCAATCTGCAGCAAACTCCTACAAACACTTGTTGGGAGTGGAATCATACCTTTACGGTTCAAATTCCAATTCCCAGGAGGCCAGACCAGAAGCATTGCAAGAAGTGATTGCATGTCGTATGTCATATTGCTCAGCTGCTTCAGCTGAATCAACCCACAGATGCCAAGAGATTTCCAATTGAAAGTGCTTGGCTGATTTGCTGGTGCCAACTGCTGTAGGTAAATGACCCTGCTTTTCTTATTACATCGAACTAGGACCTAGGACAGCTATCAGCTAGCCATGTTATTCCTTCAGCTGCATCGACTGAGGTCTGTGATGCTGATGACATCTCTCAACACCTCCAAAAGTGTGAGTCCAAGGGGTCAAGATAACTAGAAACGGGAAATCGTTGGTTCCACATCGACATTGAGTCAGAGATCTTGCAGGCTGTCACCACGAATGCTTTGTGCAATCCACAGCCCAAAGACATCCGTGATATCATTTGCTGATACTAGGAGCAAGGACGCTACTAAGAGCTCCTGGCCTTACTACTAGGAACAAGAAGCTACTAGCAGCAAAGCGCATCGCTACTAGGGGCTCATCCGTGATATAATTTGTTGCCCAAGGTCAGTGGTGCCTCAGGCACTGGCGGGCTCAGACTTTGAGGACAGATATGGAGTGCTTGTGAAGGGATCCGTGAAGACCAAAGTGGAGGGGCTGGCCTTTTCACGTTATGGTACCCATTATATACATTGCATATTATATATAATATACGCTGGATGGATGTTCATACATTATCAAAGGAAGTTTAGTGTACGAAACTTCCGTGTTACGGACTACACCACTCATCAATACACCACTCATCATACACCACTTATCATACACCACTCATCATACACCACTCATCAATACAACACTCATCAATACACCACTCATCATACACCACTCATCAATACACCACTCGTCAATACACCACTCATCATACACCACTCATCATACACCACTCGTCAATACACCACTCATCATACACCACTCATTATACCCCACTCATCATACACCACTCATCAATACACCACTCGTCAATACACCACTCGTCAATACACCACTCATCAATACACCACTCATCATACACCACTCGTCAATACACCACTCATCATACACCACTCATTATACCCCACTCATCATACACCACTCATCATACACCACTCATCAATACACCACTCATCAATACACCACTCATCATACACCACTCATCATCCAGTTAGCTGTAGTTTCAAGAGCTCTAGCTCCAGTTAGCTCTAGTTGCAAGAGCTCTAGCTCCAGGTAGCTCTAGTTTCAATAGCTCTAGCTCCAGGTAGCTTTAGTTTCAAGAGCTCTAGCTCCAGCTCTAGTTTCAATAGCTCTAGGTCCAGTTCACGTTGCAGGCGGAGCGGTTTGTGAACCTCCATGTGCAGATTTCGTGGAGGGTGCAGCACGTTGT